AGGTGTCTACAGGAGAGCGCACATCTGTTTGGACGTGGGGCAGACAAAAATGATTTTCTGAAAACCCAGCCCACTCTCCTCTGCATGCACCTTCTCCTTTCCAAATTCTGATTTTTCCATTTCCTCCTCCTTCTCTCTAGAAGTTTCCCTTCTCTCTACTGTAACTCATCCATCTCCTCTCCGATCATCATTCAGAGACCATAGGAGTATTCTCGGCGTCCCAAGCTTCCTCTTAAACCGAACAAATTTCAAGTTTGAGCTGGTAAGTTTCTCTTCTTCGTCGTGCGTTCTTTTGTTACATGCAAAGCCAAATTCTGGCTGCATGAAGGAGGTATAGTCTAAGTTATTCTTGATTTTGTTTTGGTTAAATTTAGTTGGAAGAGTTAAGTGATCTTTGAGGGTAGAAAGCTGTAGGCGGACGAACCCAAAATCTTATGTTTAGGACGTTTCACTCACTGATCCAGGTAAGGGAAGCTTATTTAATTTAATCTGTATGTAGTTGTTNAGGGAGATGAAGCATTTTACAGCCAATTAGGAATATATTCCTGTGCATGGACTAATATTTCCCTCAAATTTAACCACTCTGCTAAAACACAAGTAAAGAGAATGAAGCCAACATCAGATTATATTCCACAGCACAAAAGGAGAAATTGTTCAATGGTTATGCCTCTCCAAATATGCACCACTCCACCTTTGACCGAACCATGAAGTAATAAAATAAGAGGACATCACATCGTTGAGCAGTGATCACGTAAACTGGATCAATGGAGAGGATGGAATTATGATTCTTATGCGATTTACTAAATAACGAAAAATGTTGAAAGTATAATAGAATACAGTGTACATCAAGTCATTATATAAGAAACATAGCTACAAGTGGGTAAAATGAATTTTACGAACTATTAAATAATATAATGAACAAAAAATTACTTACTTTGAACTAAACTAAATTGAAAATTATATTTTAGATGAATTGAATTGAACTATTTTTTTATTATACTAAGCTGGAGTATACTTATACTGAAATTTAATTTCCACTTTGACACACAACACAACTTTGAGATAGTCTGGAATAGACCATAGGTCTAGACGAGTTGGACCAGATCGAAGGTCGAGACAGGCTGACTTGACCCAAATTCATGACGAGACGGGCCAAAGGTTAACGGGTTAGGTCGAATTAAATGTTGAGTCGTGTCACGCTAGATCTAATGTCTAAACAGGTTGGGTAGGACTGCATGTCAAGACGGGTTGACCTAAGCCAAAGTTTGAGATGGATCGAGTCGGGCCAAAGGTTGAGACGGGATCAGGTCTGCTAAAATGTTGAGACGAGCCCAGACCGAAATTCATTCGAAACTCGAATGAGTCATTCTGACTGAAATTCAACTAAATTTAGACAAGTCAACCCTAGGTAAAAATTAGTCGAAAATCAATTGGGACAACCTCGGTCAAAACTTAGTCTAGTCAATTTTGACCAAAATTTGGATGAGTTGACCCAGAAAAAAATCGGTCAAGTTCGACTGCGTCGATCATGGTCGAAACTTAATACAGTCAGTCTCAACTGATGTTTGGTCGAATTCGATCGAAAATGTGTTGGACTACCATAGTCAAAACTGTGTTGGTTTTAGCAAAAGTTGGCTGAGTCGATAAAAAATCTACTGAATTCGACCAAGTCGACAATAATCAAAGTCAACTGCAACTTTAGAAACTCTCAAAGAAATAAAAAGTATAAATTGAAATAGTTTTAACTTAGTAGTTAACTAAATTACAATTTTAGAGATTCAATTTTTTAAAACTGAATTATAAAATGATACAATTCAATTTTTAATCCAAGTAGTTCAATACTTTTTGTATAATATAATATAATTAATTGATAGTTTTATTTTGTTCAGTTAATTTTGTTCAGCATTACATATATATCAGAATATTTGTAAGAGTGATGTATGTCTAAAATTATAGCCTTGAATTTTTACATGAAGCTTGTTGTGAATTCTGAAAATCTAGCATAGAGCTGATTACAAGTAAACGAAATTAATTCACAGCCTTCAGCATCCATTGGTGTGTCTCTTCCAAGAGCAATGCTAGCCATAACAATATTAAAATCATCCCATCTCCTCTGTTTTAACTACACCTAATACTATCCCTCTATCACTTTTTGTTGCAAAGAAAAGGAAACGTATGAAAAAAAAGATGATTTTTTTTCACCCAATCATTTTTTGTTTTTAATTACGTTAAGTTTTATTACGAAGACACACTTAACTCCTTATATAAGTGATAACGGGTAAACTTTTAAGTACAAACAAGAGTGATGTTGTGTTTGACCTATATCTAAGTACTTAACTCATTTTCGTATCTCTAGGCGCCTCGTTCCCATGCTAAAGAGCGCAAGGTCATTTTATTTCAATCTTATTATAAAGAGTTTTCTTTAAGCTTATTCTCATCTCCAAATTGGTAACTCATTCCCAAGTTAAGTTAAATTGAGTAAAAGGAAAGTTTATTTTAGTCTATATTATTACAAAAAGTTCTTAAAGTCCTTTTTAACCCTTCACTTGGCAAAACTTTTCTTCAAACTCCTTAATCATGTTTCTATTTAGGACATCCTAAAACCTTTTTAATGTCTTGGATTCTGTTTTTTTCTTATCTTAGTTATCTTTCTTCACGTGATTCTCTTCAAACTCCTTAATCATGTTTCTATTTAGGACATCCTAAAACCTTTTTGATGTCTTGGATTCTTTTTTTTTTCTTATCTTAGTTATCTTTCTTCTTGTGATTCCTCCTTAACTCAATTTTTCACATTTCGTTATCAAATAAAAAATGCCCTTCTAAAAAAATAATGATAATAGGTTGTTCGGTAGCTTTTGCACATAACATAATTTGTTGTTGAATGTATTACGTTTGAATGCATTTCATCCCTATGATCCATTTGGTCATTGGAAGCTTCTTCTAGAACAATATTGCTTGTTATGTTTCTTGTGGTCACTGTATGAGTTTAAAAATGATCACTTGATACCACGATGAACACCATAATATTTTGATATGTAGAGGTGATAAGTCACTTTTAACCGTTATTCGTTCAAAGTATTTTGTTCTAAGCATACTTCTTATTCATCACTCCAATAGAAAGTATATGTGAAAATTCCTTTAATGTTAAAGTCATATCAAATCTCAACATTAGAGCAAGAATCAAATATTAATTATAAAATTAATTAAATAATTTATTATTTCTAACTAATAATTTATTAAATAATTAATTATTTACAAATGGACATTTTTACAATTTATAAATAACTAGTTATATTTTAGCATAATCATATGCTTTTATTAATACATTTGATATATAAATTGGTATCAAGTTAATCCATCTTTAACAAATTTCATTCTTAAAAACAAATAATAAGGTTCTAAAATGAAAAGCTAAGAAATATGCTATCTTAAAAGTCCTTAACAACATAAAGTTAATACAGAGCACTATAATAAAATTCTTAAATAATGACTAATGTTTTTGATAAAAAAAAATATGATTGGAAAATATCTTTTCTAGTAGCTAAACTCTTGGTAACTGATATAATAATTAATTTAGAGACTAATTCATAATATAAACTATTTTTTGGATTAAATGAGTTTTTCTTCCATAACTATGAAAATTAAATTTAGTCTCGACTTGAAATTTTAACCCAACTTAGTATCTTATATTATTTTTAGAAATATGTAAATTTAGTTCTTTTAATACATTTTATTAAATTTATATAAACTTAACAAAATAAAAAACTAAATTTATATATTTATATAGTTAAGAGGTTAAATTAGATTAAAATTTTATAAAAAAAATTAATTTCATTTTTTAATAAAAATTAAGAATCAAAATCATATTTAACTTTTTAATTTTTTTTTCTTTTATTTTAATATTTAGTTGAAACTTGTTATCTATCATTTGACTAGGTTAATAGTTTAAAAAATTATTAGATCTTTAAAATATTTTTTACTTTATCATACCATTAATTACGTGTAATCTTGTTCAATTTATCAAAGTGTACATGTATTAGATAATTTTTTTAAATATTTTTATGTGTTGTTTACTTTTATTATATAAAATACTATTTTAATATTTTTTTATATAATTATTTTTATTTTCTAACCCAAATTATATTATTATAATTGCATAAATAAATTATATTTACTATAATATAATAATCTAACGTGTCATGAATTTTTTTTCACATCCAGCTTATATTAAAATTCTTTATTAAATTTTAGTTATTATTAATCTAATTTTTATTCTTTGTATAGTCTTGATATAGTGATATATTATAATTTTTATTAATGTATAAAAAAAGAGATTTCATTAGAATTGAAAAAATATAATTAAACAAACATTTAAAATACATTTTAAATTTTATCAACTAAGATTTTAGTTTTTGCAAATTTTATTAGTGATTAAAGGAAAATTGCATCCTTCAGAAGAGCATTTTTGAAGATGATCAGCTATATTAATTATTCCCTCAAAATAACCTATATTAATTTTCAACAAACCCTATAAAATGACAATTATAATTATAATGGATTACAAAAACATCGACTATCATTTTCATCTTTCATTGTTATACTTGGTCCCCTCTTCCCTATATGGGGTGTATGATTCGTCTATAAAACAAGATTTGAAGAGAGATCTAATTCAGTCATCTAGCCGAGGTGAAAAGGATTATATAAAGGACTGTATTTAGCTAGCTCAGATGACAAGAATTTCACTAAAAAAATATAGTTCTCTATTCACTAAGTAAATCCATTTTCGGTTTAAAAAAAATACTATTTCAAATAAAGATGTTCAAATCACCTCCGTTCTTCTCCAAATGTACTTCCTAAATTGTAACCAAAGGAAGCTTTTCAAACCCTAAACCCAACACTACGTTATCGTTAGATATCCAGTTTATTTTAGAAATCTATAAAGAGTGAAAACCTAGACCTTACATAACCAAAAGAAAAATCGAAAACACACAAACAGGCAAAAATACCTTGCTGGCTATATTTTTAATTCTCAACCAACACTAACTGTATGCTGCATATAGAGTAATGGCTCAGTGCGGGGCAGACTAATATCACACTCCCCCAACTAAACCAAAAGTAACTGTTACTGTACAATCATGAAGTGGCAACACAAATGTTACATCCGTTTGGGAGAATCAATTATCTTCTGAACCAAAAATTTGCTCCTTTACCTCCTCTATTTTAGTAGCCAGTTCATCTCTACTTTGCTGCATGTTAACAAATTTAATTAATCTGGGCACAACCAAGATGCACATATCAATCAAACATAGTGAAATTAGTACCTTGAAAAGCAGATAACGGGAAGTAAACCATACTGTGTATGCAAGCCCAACAACTTCCAGCAACTTAGGAAACTGTGCAACAATAATGAACAACAAACATCAGTATTTGAAAAAGTTGGCTTTGGGTTTGTGAAAAAGTTCACATGAACATCAAATGATACACACCAATGGGATAGAATCAATTGCACCCACAACGGCGGTTGTTAGCCACAGAGCAGTCAAGACACCACCTCCATACAAGACAATGGAACCAGTGTCATTTGTGTCAAACTGTTAAAAGGCAAAAAACGAGACCAGTTAGATTTTATAAACACATCAAATCTACGTCTACTTAATTTTAATGGCAAATCAATCATGGAATGCATTCATACAGAGAGCGAGAATTACACAACCTTCTTTCCAGGAGTAGTAAAGAAAGCAATCAGTTTTCACACGCAGCAGACCTTAATGGTGCATCACAAAATCAAATCAAATTAGAAATAATGTATTGATGTTATGAAGACGATTTAAAATCAATATCAAATCACTTTGGTAAAGAAACCGAAGGAACCCACACATTGATGCTTCCTTCAGACAAATAGTTTTCCAACAGTTTTTAGGTAAGGTTGTGAAATCGAAATGTAACAATAATACATTTGAACCAAAAATACTGAAGCAGGGAAATTTTATATAGAAATGAAACTGACTCTTAATAGCAGGGAAAACTCATTTTCTACTTTAGAATATTTGATTTCACACAAGACAGGTCAATGAATAAAAATATAATGAGAAAAAAAAACTGTACCTTGGAGAGACATTGACATAACCTAAACTACAAGAAACAAATCATTGAAAAAGAAAACCCGGTGTACCAGTACCATAACACTAAGGAGTACAAGCTAACCAAGGAAAAAAAATGAAGTTTGAGACACGATGAAGATGGACAAACAATCATTAATAAGTCATTAAAAAGGTTTATGTCCAGAAAAAACATGTAGCACAAATGTTGTCAGAGCAATCACATGGTCTGACGTTAAGTATAAACTACAAACACGACACTAGCAATGGCTAAAATATGGATAGAAGAAATAAAAAATATCATTTCTAAAACGAACATTAAAGATAAAAAAATGAAAATCAGGCTTATGATCGAACACTGGCAGAAATGCACAGAAAAGGCTAAAACCATATACAATTTCACAAAAAAAAAAACAAAAAGGTGAACGTAAAGAGTTGCTCAGGTAACCGCTCAGATCGACAAGATTGCCGAAATATCACCAAGCATTTTCTAAATGCCGTCAATAAAACTGGATTATCATCATAGCAACTCCATACTTGAAATGGAAACAAATATAGCCAGCCATATAAACGCCATCAAATCAACAAACCGGTTCGTAAACATAACAACTCAAGATTTGAAATGCAAACAAACATAAACAGGCATGAAAAAAATAAAACAGGCGTCCTGAACGACAAA